CCGACTTGTTACAACAACCATGCACGAAACCTCCAACCCCTTTCGCCCCCCCCCCCCACGGAGTATTTTCCAATTATTCCATTATTACTCATGTCTCCTTAAATTAAATTAATCTTCTGGGACGTGACTCATTTTTTTAATCAAATTAATCTTTTTTCCCCCTTTTTTATGATTAATCTATGTTAAAATACACGGTGTTTTTGCATTTTAATAATAATAATAATATATGTTTTATATATAATATTTTTCTGTCTTTTAATTGAATGTGTACCTCTTTCATCCCTAAAAGATTTTCTTTTTGTTCTAAAGAGTCTTTTCACTTCCAATTAAAAAATTACTTTTACCCACATTAAGTCGTACCCAACATATCACACTATATATTTTCACCGATAATCTACTCATCAAATTTCACTTTTAACTATCATATCAAAAGTAATTTGAAAAAAAAATATTGTTTTCTTAAATTTCACAAAAGTCAAAAAGGAAAAGGAATTTTGGGATGTATGCAATATCATACTAGGTGCCCATTTATATCATGTTTGATTTACAATGTTACTATCAAAACATAGTACTACCACCATCTCATAATATTAATTTTTTATGTTTATTACTGTAACGTTAATTGTCATTTAAGAAAATTGTGTAGGATCTTAGATCTTGTTTCGCTAGGACTTGATTAAAATATTTTTTCCATCTTGTCCTAAAGCACTTGAATTCTCAAGGCCAACTCTGATGAACATATGCTGCATAGTAAATTAGTAATAAAGAATAACAAACGAATAGATTTTTTTTAAATTAAAAGGTATCAACCGACAATTGTACTACTACTCTCCCTTTTTTTAAAAAAAGAGTTCTTTTTTTTCATTTTCTTTAAAACACTTCACTTTTGTAAAAAAGTGACTATTATATTTATATAAAGTCATTGCAATATACTCTATTTATTTTGTATTCACATATAAGTTATTTAAGTGATTTGTTTCTTTTTTCCTTCGATGCTAAGAATATAATTGAACAAAAGGTTTAATTAAGAAAATAAATTTATTAAAAAATTAAAACAGGAATTGTTTTTAATAAACAAATGATCGAGTAAATGTTACGAGTACAAGTTTGGGAGTCTAATTTTAATTTGTTGTGTAGGGCATGCAAAAAATAGAAGTATTAAGTCCATGTTCTCTTCAACTTATTACTTGTTTTTATTTGAATCAAATCAGATCATATCAGACCAGATTTAATCACAAACAATTTTAATTATAATTACATTCAGATCAGATCAGACCATGATGGGTGTATTTCACCCAAGACCGGTCAAAGGAGAAGGCCGAATCTTTGACCGGTCAATCTCGAAAGTTTTGGAAGGGAGACTTAAATCGTCAGCAAAACAATATATCATCGGCCAAAATATGACCGGTACACTTCACAAAAAGTATACCGGTCAAACTACGTTGTCATCCTATTTGTTCCAGACTTCGATGAATTCATCCCTCGGAGATTACCCGGTGTAGTTTCTGGGGTTGGAAAGTGTCGGCAGAGGAGGATCTGCGAGGGCTTGGCGTGTAGNGCGTGTAGCGACCCGTGTCAGTAGAGGACAACTGGAGATGCTGGAGAATCCATCCAAAGCACTACTTGACAAAGGGAATGATCCCCTTCACAAGGCGACAAGGCAGCTTGAGGACGAAACCAGTCACCTCGCACCACATCAGCAGCATGCCCCCACGTGGGCGCACGTGGTCCTGTCCCCTTAGCCTAGTATAAATACTCATGTAAACTGTAAACCTCAGAAAGAGGGATCCGAATTTCACTCTCTCTAAACTCCTTTGTAAAAGCACCCGTGCATTCTCCGTTATAATATAAATTGGGCTACAGGTGTTCCACCTAAAGTCCTACCGGTCACTTTGCGTGTTTTTACCTTTCTTACTTTGCCAATAAAGCGAACTATTCTAGACCCGGTCTAGTATAGTTTGACCGGTCAAGTAATTTACACCATCAGACCAGATAATATCAGATCATGTCAGAACTTAATTATTTCAATCAATTCAGAATATTCACTAGTTATAGATAACTAATGACCTAATAATGGAAAACCGTGGATACACAAATGGATGTGCAGGACCGATTTTGGCATAATTAATAACAATAGTAAGAAAATATCCAGCTCACTTAACGTAATGTAACATGCGTCAACATTCATCAATCGCAATTAAAAATTCGCTTATGTCTTGTCTTGCATGCTCTTTTCTTGTGTTGCGTCGTGAAAGAAAATAAGAAGAAAAATACAAGACTAAAGTTCAACAAATATATATACATGTAATAATTACAGAAAATTTACAAAAAAACATAAGAAAAAAAATAAAATAATTAGAGCCCGTTCTTTAGGACTAAAAAAAGAGCTAGATGTTGGAAGAAACTTGAAAAAACTAGAAGGAACTTGAACAAATTGGAAGAAACTAAAAAAAATTGGAAGAAACTGGAAAAAACTAGAAGAAACTAGAAAAACTTCAAAAAATTAAAAAACCTAAAAAAACTTTTTAAAAATTTATTTTAAATTTTTGTTGTTATAAATCATCATCATCATTATTATTATTATTATTATTATTATCCATCATCATCATCATCATGTTATCTTAATGAATACTTTTAAGATACAAAAAAAGTATTGTTATTTTTCAAATACAAAAAACTACCTATACTTTTGTAAAAAATAATTATAATGTAAAGTTAGCATCATAAATATAAAAATATAAAATTTTAAAAAGTTTTTGTGGTTACGTTGCACCTCAATTTATTTATGCAGTATTCATTATAAATAATATATTTGTCATTATACTTTATATATTACAAGATTTTGTTTTAAATATCATACATGTCACATAATGTATTCAAATCTATTTTTTTCTTTCATTATTGACATTTTATATTCATTGAAGTTCTGTTTTTGGAATAAAGATATAGAACTTTTTTTTCATTTTTATGTTTTACTCCTATTTTAGTCTTTTTCTCTAAACTATTTTGACTCACAATTTTTTATAAAGATTAGAAAAATGAGGAAATTTTAAATAAAAAGGGAAAGGTGAGAGGTCTTATATAAAGTTAGATTAATAAAACATTCTATGTCACTATTTTATCTATAATTTTTTAATATAGTTTAACATATTAATGTTTTCCTATTTTATCATTAGATTAATATACAAAAAATTGTCTTATTCATATTAAAAAGTTGAAGAAAAAAATAATGGGTGAATCGTAAAAATAGTGAGATGAAAAAATAGTTTATAAACTATAGTTACGAACATAGCAGTAGTAATAGTAATAATAATACTCATAATAATAATAATAATAATAATAATAATAAAATATATCATTTTTAGAGTAACTGGTTGGGGAGTAGAAAGAGTTTGAAGAAAGTGAGAATAGTTGGAAGAAACTGGTAGGAACTGGAAGAACTAGAAGAAACTGAAAGTTAAGAGTTCAAGCTCTAGAGAACATGTTCTTAGTATAGAATCTTAATTCTTAGTATAGAATCTTAATTAACGTTTTATAACCCTAAACACCGAGAAGGGGGTGGACATTATATTAATGCTCCCCAATGATCAAAACCAACCAATAAGGCAATAATAAGAAACAACAAATAAAGGGGTCGTCGTCTTTATGCAGTGTACTAAACAAAGTCGCCGACTCGCCGCATGCAGAACCACTTTGTTTTTGGGTACGTACGTAAGACTATTATATATACTCCACACATAATATAATAATGTTAGTGGGTTCCCTCTTCTTCTTCTCTCTTTTTTGAGCTTTTCCTTTGTTTTTTTCCCTCGAATCAAACTGCTAAAGAAACATCATTAAAGTGTACTTTTTTTTAATAAAGAAAAACATGTATCTAAAATAAAACCCTCCCTCGTATCCCGCTTAGGATTGCCCGCACATGGGGAAAGTGTTTGTTTCTCCCTTTTCTTTTTATTTAATTAACTTCTCTAATTACTTATACTATACTGCATATTTAAAAAAAATTAAAACTAACTTTAGTCACCACCACATTACCAAGAAGTTTCTATATACTCCCAATAATTAAGGTGTCTTTAATTGTCAGTATATATATGATGTACCTTGTCGTCTACAGTACGAATTTTAACCATCCCCTAAGCCCTAACTAAGGTTCGTTTGTGACAAATTATTATGTGTACTTAAGTTCCGTGGTGGACCTTCATATATGTTAAATACTCATTTTTAGGTGTTAAAATAAGTATTTTTTAGACTAAAAAAAATGTGAGCACGACCATGTGAACCTTATGTTCACCACAGAATCACTCGAGTGATTTTGTGGTACGGTGGACCTAAGAACACTGGTAATGGGTGTAACACCAAGGGGCGTCATTACCATTTTAACGCATGAGGGACGTTAAACACCGCCCGCTTGGGGCTTCATCCGAGCATTATTCATTCCCACTGCGTCAAACCTTTAGCAGACGTATTTGCAGCAGGCCCCTCCATTCAAACAGCTACAAAGTTGTTACAAAATTTTAAAAAGTCTCCTCTATAAAATCAACTCATTTTAAGAATAAAATTCACAAACAAATCTCTCTCTTCTTCAATTTTTTTCCATCTTTTTTAACATGAATCCATTCGGTTTTAAAGTTCCTTCATTCAGTCTAGAGCCAAACGATCAAGCAAATATAATTTGTTTTCGAGAGAGGACTGAACAAGTGAAGAAACAACGAGATCAAGGCTAGATATAAGTTGCTTTAGTTTTTTTTAAGTAATGTAATTTTTTAATTAAATGTTTTTTAACGAATTATTGTCGTTTAAATTTAATTACTTTATGAAGTTTTATTAATTTAATTTTATAAAATGTGTATTGAAACATCAAAAAAAATTATTAAGATTTGAAATCCCAGTTTGAAGCTATGAGGCTTCGATCCATTTCCAGCAAAATTATGAGGTAAGTTAAAATTGACGTGACAGATAGAGAAACTTTGGAGCTCCGCTTTAAAGTCTCGGGGCCTCACATGTATATCTAGTGCTCTAAGGTCCACATGAGTATCAAGATCTGTAAGAAAAATAAAACATTACATTCTTATTTAAAAAAGAAAATTACACAATTTAGTTAATAATAGGAATTTGTTACTCCGTATAATCATGGGCTAAAAAAGTTTTCAAAACAATATGCAAATGACCCAATATTTTTTGAAGCATGTTGACAGTATTTTTTTTGAAGATTACGTGTGAGGTGTGTCTTGTGGTTGTCGTGAGCCCAAACATAACTTTTATAACAAGGGCCCAAAACTTTTACATATTTATGGGCAAAAGCTCAAATGCCAATTTTCAAAGTGGCCTATTTTAGGTTTCAACCCGCATAAATACTCTCAACACTAAAAACCAAGTCCAGATATAATTGAGCGAAGCTCGATGCTTTGTTTGTCAGCAAGGATTTATTTAGACCAGTGTTAAATTATGACTATGTGTTAAATTTTGTTTTACTAGTATTTTAACTCGTGTTATGCTCGAGAATGAAGGATTTTTTTGTTCTGTAATTTCAATTCTCTTCAAAAAATGTAACCCATAAGATCTGTTTGGTTGAGATCAAAAAAATAAATTTTAATTTGTTATATAAGCGGTAAAGAATCTTTTTAAGATAAATATTTTCAACTAAGAAAAAGAGAAAATGACTTTAGTTTGCTTTAAACGAAAATTTATTTTCTTACTTACTTCTCAAGTCCTCTAGTTTCATGAACAAAGAAAAAAACCCACTACGCCGCATCCTGAACCGTAGAGAATAGAGCTCTATAATGGAAGTTTGGTACCGATCGAATATAAAAAAAATATGCACCTAAAATTTTGTTTAAATTGTCTTAAGACATCTTTGTTCTCTATTCAAATATCAAGGACGTGCTAATATAAAGAAATTCTAACAAATAATGAGAAATATTTTTTTAAATAAAATTCTTCTTATTACCAAAGAATCTAAAAAGGTGGGAGAAAAATTCTTCTCGTGAAAAACAATCTTCTATAGAAATTAGTTTTCTTAAAAATATCCCCTCCCCCCAACCAAATGCCTCCATTGTTTTCTAACTTCTTACTTATTTTTCAAATTCTTCTATTTTTTTTTAATTTATTAGAACTTCAATTTTTTTCTAACCGCGTCTGATTTCTTCAAACACTGAATTCAAAAATTATATACGTGAATTTTATATTATTATTATTACTAGTATTATTATTATTATTAAACATGTTGGATTTAGAAAATGAAGAACACTGCGAATTACTGTTGAACGAAGAACTCAATAGAATAACGAATCGCGTACGAAACGCTTTCAGATCAAAGTTATTTCGGGGTATACGAAATACTTCAATCGGATAAGACGTTAATTCAGAACAAGCACTCGAGAATCTGTCACTCAACCCATACCACGAGACTCTATTTTATAGAGTCGAAAATCCTTGTGATCGGACATGAACGTTCGCGTAGATGTACGCGTACGTTCGCGCAAGAAGAAGAAAGGTGCGAGTTTGAACGAAAGGTCTCCTGCGGTTGAAGGCTTAATTTCGACGTTTATTCATTATGTAAGAGTCCTTTACCGTTTTGGACTCCGATCACGAAAATCTTAAGAGTCCTTTGCAGTAAATTTTTAACATCGTTGAACGAGCGCGCACTCCGCGCCTCCTAACTCGTTTGACAACGTCTATTTAAATTTTTATCCGATCAAAGTAAATCCAATTACACAAAATAAATGGATGACACTAAAATCACCAACAAAACAAAATGAGAAAAGTTTTATGAAACGGAGGGAATATTATTGTTATCGTTATTTTTTGAAATAACTATTATAATTATTGTTGTTGTTGTTAATCATTATTTTCTTTCCTCATGGTGATGATAATGATAATAATCATAATAATAATGATAATAATAATCATAATAACAGTAATAATAATAAAGAAAAATGGGTGGCGGGGGTGCGCGAAGAAAGAGATACGGAGTATAAGAAAATAATGGAGATCAAGAAGAAGGAAAGTAGGAAAGAAAAAATAGAAATCACCATAAATAGGACTAAAATATAGAGAAAAGTATCAAAATATGACTTTCATTTTTTTTTCGAAATACAACATTACACTGTGGTAACGTAGAACTGTAGATGTGCACATTGCTATAATTTTTTGGTAATGTACATAATCATGTTTGGTCATGTAAGTCCTATTTAAAGAATAAAAATATGAAAATCCTATTTTGATATATTTTCAATGTCTTAGTCCTACATTGATCTTTTCTCAAGAAAAAACAAGGATTGGAGCAGTGGTAGGGGTGGGGGTAGGGAGAAGAGAGAGAAAGAGAAAGATGAGGTTGAGTGGGAGTGGAGCTAGAAATAGAAGAGAAGACGGGGAAGAAAAAGAGAAACAAAAAAAGTTACTCTATACCACTATCTTCCCAGTTACTATTTACATGGTCAAACTTAAAATTATTTTCTTTACCTATTTTCGTTACTTATTTGATTAAATAATATAATATTGTCACGTCTTATTTTGTAGAACTTTTAATGTATTTTTTAAATATGTAAATTTTATTTTTTAATTTTACATTTACAATCAAATAAATTGAATTGAAAATAAAGTCGGTCAAACCTTGTAAACACAAACGGGAAGGTGGTTTTAGGACGAAGGAACTAAATTAGTAAATTTTAAATTCATAAAATAAGAATTTGGCGAGGTGACTTTTTAAAATAAGAATTTAAAATAATGTTAAAAGATTCACAATTAAAATGTCAATTTTCATATAAAATAAGATTCTAATTTAAAATAAGAATTTAAATTCATAAATTCATAAAATAAGAATTTTTGGTGAAATAATATTGAAATTGGTATACTTGTTTTGATAGAATTTAAAGTTTATATACCGAAATGAAATAATGTTAAAAGATCGTGCACCGTTGGTGAAATTACCAATATTCATTGGACCTATTGTTTTTGAGTGATGCTTACATGGTCCTAAGATTCACAATTAAAATGTTAATTTTCTCACATTTTTCATGATTTATAGCTTTACATGTGGATTTTTTTTTTAAAATACCAATTTCTTTTAAGTCTAGGGAAGAATTTGTGTTGTTGGTGATTGGGCTTATTGAAGAGAAGCATCTGATCTGAGCCAACAAGCTAGGCTATAATGCGGTCAAATAATCAATTGAATTTAATGCTCCATCTATCTTTTAAAATTATTTTATTTATAAATTAGTATTTTGATAAAAAATAAAAATTGCATATTAAAAAATTATGTCAAAAGTTTTACAGAACAAAAAGTAACAAAGATATTTTATTTTATCAAATATAATAAATAAAAACATAGAAACAAAAAAAATTTATCGAGAGATAGAAAAAAATTATAATCAAAGCTGAAAGTCTGAAACGAAGAAAATTTTTAAGAGCCACTAAAATATGAATAATAATAAAAATATTTTTAAAAACACCGTTAATTTTTTATAAATATGAAAAGTCGGATAAATCCATACGAGTAAGATTTATGAACTGATTTTGGAAATAAAAAAGAAATATTTGCACCAAATAGCACTAAAACTTAAGTCATTTCTCTAAATCGCACTTAAACTGTTTTATTCCCTAAATAGCATTTAATAATGTTTTTAATGTTCAGTGATGACGAAGATTTACTTGAATAATGACTAATGCATAATGACTAAAAGTGATAGATTAGAAGAAAAAAATATGATGCTATTTAGAGAAAGTTATTATGTTTTATTGTCTTACTCTCACAAAGAAAATACTCAATTCTTGCCCGGAAGCCCCATCCGGGTTAATCATATACAGCGCTTCCGAATCTTTGGACCCAACTCTTCGGTCAAACCTGGCCCTCATATAAGTCAACTCCCCGTCGGTCGAATCTTTTCTGTTACTCTCCGACGACGGGGCGGGAAGCACGCCGGCGCTCATGGAGACACCGCGGAGATGGTGCATGACGTGGCACTCGTCGTCGGTCATGTTCTTCCGCCGGATGGAGTACCCCATCTTCTGGCCGTTGCAGTACACTGCCCACACGTACTCTTCGAGAACCTTCTTCTTCCTCGTGGTCGTCTCGCTCTCGAGCGCCAGCCGGACCACGTCGTTCGCCATCTCCTTGTGGAAGACGGCGGTCAGCATGGGCAGCTCGATCATGAAAATGGGCGGACGGTGCGGGTCCTCCTGGATGGCCAGGCTGACCCGACCCTTCTTGTACCCGAATAGTGTCCCGGTGGTGGCCCGGTCCGTCAGCATCGGCTTCATTTGCTTCCCTAGAAGCGTCACCATCTTGCATCCGGTGGTTAGCATGGGGAGGAGCTTGAACATGCGGAGGAGACCGCCACCACCACCGGGAGGCTTTTTTTTCTTGCTTCGAATATTACTATTACTGTTACTATTACTATTATCATCTGTAGTAATAGGGTTGTTGTCGGAGGGACGTGAAGCGACAACGGTGCGTCGGAGAATTGATAAAAGGTTAGGGGGTTCTTTGCAATTACTTTTATTAGTAGAAGTGTATGGGGTTTGTTTAAGGTTTTGGTTCATGAATGTGAATGCCATAGTTGAATAATACTACTATAGGTTTTGGGAATGTTATTATTGTTAGGGAGCATATATTCAATTATTTCAATCATCCATATATAGATGAGATGAGATGAGATGAGAAGAGATGGAGAAAAAGGAGTGAGAGGAAAAAAGGTTAGGTTAGGTTATACAGATCATATGATGGAGAAAAGTGATGAAGAAAGGGTATAGTATTAATTATTAGTTGTTTGCTTTAAATTAAATAATTTGGTGTTGGGCATGGAATGAATTTTCCAGGTCGGTCTTTGGATATATGACAACTAGCTACTCCCTCCGCCCCGGAAAACATGAGAGTTTTGGTGTTGGAGAGAGATTTAAGAAGAGTGTATTTTGGTATTGAATTTCCAAAAATGTCCTTTGATGTGATGGGTAAAAGTATGATTTGATGGATAGATTATTAGTAAAAAGGTATGATGTGATAGGTAGGTATGAAAAAGTAAGGGATAAAAGTAACTTTTTAATAAAAATGAGAAGTGTTTTTTGGGACAGATGAAAAAAGAAAGAAGAAAGGTTTTCTAGGACGGAGGGAGTATATTCTATCAAGCACTCATCATGCAATCCATAGAAAAATGTGAAGAAAATAAAATTCAACCAAGCACTACAATATTAGGAGATTCTTTTAAAAATAATTTAAAACATTTTTCTTCCACATACACACATTTGAATACAAATTACATACTCAACTTGTGCCAATATATTTGTCCACTACTGCAATTGAGTGAAATGTTGCTAATAGGGGCAAGGGATTCGATTACTCAAAACATTTTTTCTTTAGTTTTTTTGTTTGCAACAAAACACTTTCACTTTAACAAAAAATGACTAATATATTTAAATAAAGTCAATGCAATATACTCAGTTCATTCATTTTGCATTGATATAATAAGTCATTTAAATGAGTTACCTCTCTTTTTACTTTGACGTTAAAGATAAAATTATAAAGTCAAATTAAAAAAATAAATCCGAAAGAAATCAAAATAGAAACTGTTTTACCAAGCGTAGAGAGTATGAGATTACACAGTTTCTTTTTCTTCCATCTTTTAGCTTTCTATACTAGATCTACCTTCGCCCATATTTGCACTTGCTACCACAAGTTCATCGCATCTCATCATCGGGGCCTTTATATATTTTGTCACGTGCCCAAACAAGCTTAGTATCCGTATAGTTTTTCGCAGCTTATCCTTATTATTAAATATAATTATTAATTACTCAGTATTATTAATTCTTATTATTTTTACTAGGTATTGTTAATTGTTACGGAGTATTATTATTATTAGATTATTTATCATCATCATTCAAGCATTTGACATTTCATAGAATCTTAAATCATATCATCGCATATATACCCAAATGAAGATAATAAAGAGTATGGAAAGAGTTAGATGTTGACATGGTCCACCATGCTAAAAGGCTAATTCTATTATCACATGGAAAATGTACCCAATACACCAATAATAATACCTATATGAGCCATGAGGATGTGTGGGTCCTTAACGTGGATTATGTTTTAAAGAAAACCTAGGAAAATCCCAAAACTATATATATATATATATATAAATCATATATTTATATTATTCCTTTCTAAATTCTATATATTATTCAGTTTGATTTTTAATTTAAATCTTCTAATGTCGTTTTATCATCAACAAAATGAAAAAAAAACGAATTGTGTCATATCAATAAGACCTAGCATTATATTATATCAACTTCTAAAATGGATGAAATAAAATAGAGGAAAGTTTTGGTAAATAGATTATTAACTTATACTTCTTCCATCTCGAATTGATGACTTCACAAAGATTAAAAAAATATTTAAAAAGAAGTATTCGGAACTAACTATCTCGAATTGATGACTTCACAAAGATTTAAAAATATTTTAAAAAATAAAAAAAATGAAAAATTATTTTGGGACGGATATAAAAAAATAGAACTAACTCGGTTAAAAATCTAATGACCCGAGAACAATGGGCAGAGTGTATGGTAAAATTAACCACTTGGATATCGAATTAGGATCCACTTTCTAACTCCACAACTAAAATAGATGGGTTAGGTTTCATCCTCCTGTATATGCTATTGATATTTCTCTTTATTTTTGAAAAAAATCTCCAACGCTCTCCCTCAAGTGGTAACAAGCCTAACCTGCTCTGGCACTATGTTAAAATTTGGTGGGCAGAAAACAATGAAAAAAGTATCGGGTAAAATTAACTGCTTGCATATAAAGTCGGGATCCACTTTTCAATGTAAAAACTTAAACTGATAAATAAGATTTCACCTTTATATATATATTAGTTGTATTTGTCTTTGTTTTCAAATCTAAGAACTCCAACCTAACAAACTTCTGTTGTGGTACACGAATGTTGATAAATGATAATGCACTTGTGAAACCGTCCATGTTTTCATTTTCGTGCATAAAACCCAACAGAGAAGATGATTATTGAGAAGAAAAAGGAAAATAAAAGTTATAAGGCAAACACATGGGCCCTGTCGTCACTAGACTCTCATGTCATGCTCCCCAAGGCTAGCTTTTGATAAATTATACTCCGTATGAAACTCCGGTTGATAAATTATATGAAACTCGGGTTAAAAGTGAGGTTGTGATAAAATTTCGGTACATTGAGAACAACGAACAGAATGTTAGTTAAAATTCACCACTTTCATATAATGTCAGAATTCACTTTCTAACTAAAGGAGGGGCGGACCCACCTTGAGTCCCATGGAGTCCCGGGACCCCACGGACCCCGGTGTAGGTCCATATAGATATTAGGTATGTATTAATATTAATATATAAAAGACGCTTGTCACGTGGTAATCATAAGCGCGTTCGGTTTAGTGGAAGTTCGCCTGATGCTCCTCCCCTGGGACGGAGGTTCGAATCTCAGCATTAGATTTTTGGAGATAATTTCTCTCAGCACTGGATTTTTGGTTTAGTGGAAGTTCGCCTAATGCTCCTCCCCTGGATTTTTGCTCTCCCCTTTTCTCAGTAAATTTCTCCTCTTCTCCAATTCTTTAATTTACATTTTTGATTTTGGAACCCTAAAGCTCCCAATCTGCCGTTCTGCTGCCCAGCCGACGCGACACGCGAGACCGCAACTTGCCGACCGCCGACCAGCCTCCACGCGCCAGGCCGCCAGCGACGGGCGACCGCCGCAACCTGCATCATCTTCTTCCCGTCTCCGGTCTCCGTGACTCCGTCACTCCTGCGGTAAGGTAAAAACTTTTCTTTGTTTTACTAAATTTAAAAAATTGATTTAGGATTGCAAGTGATAAATATTATTGTATTAATGTTCATTTTATGTCTAATTTATAGAATTCAAAATTCAAAGGTACTTCAAAAAAGTAGCCAAATTTAAAGATTCGGAGTCGAGTGGAATTAGTAACAATGTTACCGCTCCGGTGCCTCAAGTAAATACTCCATCTTTAGTTATTCAAGAAAATACTCAATCTACTCCTGTTCAAGAAGGCACTCAAGTGACTCAACCTACACATGTTCGGGAAAGCACTCAATGCACTTCTAATGAGAGAAACTTTGATTTTGAGTCTTTGGAAGCTGACCCTGGATTAAGAAAGAAAATTTCTGACTTTCGTCCAAGATGAGGTACGTCGTAGTTATCTTTAAAAAGGACCCTTTCAACCCAAAAGTCATGATTTCCCGTATAAGATGATTGGACCTAAGAAGCGTAAATTTCTTATTTCTTGGTATGAAAACTAGACGAGTACAATTGTAAACGATGTTATTTTCGTATAACTTTATTTATATGTATGAATTATGGTACTCTTAAAATATTAGTTTTAATTTATTGTTATATGTTAAGACTTATGAATTAGTTTGACATGAGAATGGAATGTAGTCAGGTAGGGGACCCCATGACCTTAAAATTCTGGATCCGCCTCTGAACTAAAGAGCTTAAGCTATTGGATAAAGATTCACCCGCGGCCTTCTATATATGCGAGTGATATTCTCCTTTATTATTTAATGTGGGAACTGGAAATTCCAACATGTTCTTCTTCTAACATGACTCTTTTTTATATGAAACCAAAAGAGAGATAAATTATATTAACGAGATAATAAAATCATAGGCAGAAAGAATCCATTCTCTGCTGCTTTGAGGTAAATGAGAAGTCTCCGCCAATGGATACGCTGCCTCATTAGCAGAGCAATAAACAAAATAAAATTGAAAATTCTCCCCAAGAGGGACTTGCAATCCGTAATAAATGAAAAGAAAACAGACCAATCAATTTTTTGCTCTGTATTTCTATTTTAACACTTTTTTTATTTTGTACAAAATTATGAAAAAAATATTTAATTACAACGTTAATTTAATATACATAAATGGTTTCATTTTATGATGCCGTATTTCTATTTTAACACTTTTTTTTTATTTTGCACAACATTATGACAAAAATTTAATTACAACGTAAATTTCATATATATAATTGGCTTCATGTTACTCTCTCCGTTCTATAATGTTCTTCCCGGTTCTGTTTACGAAGTTTGACCGACTTTATTTTTAATTCAATTTATTTGATTGTAGGTGTAAAATTAAAAAAATAAAATTTATATATTTAAAAACTACATCAAAAGTTCTACAAAACAAGTGGTGACAAGAATATATTATTTTATCAAATACCTAATGAAAATAGATAAAGAAAGTGATTAAAGTTTGACCGTGTGAATAGTAAGTGGGAAGAACATTACAGGACGGAGGGAGTATAATATAATTTTCCTTTATTAATTTTTCATAAAATTAATTTAATTAATTTATATTTAATTTGTCGTTTTTTGAGTAATTGGTTGGGGAGTAGAAAGAGTTTGAAGAAAATGAGAGTAGTTGGAAGAAACGGAAAGTAACTAGTAGAAGAAACTGGAAAGAACTGGAAGAAACTAGAAGGAATTGGAAGTTAAGAGTTTAAGCCCTAAAGAATATATTCTTACTACTATATATTTACTATAGATTCCATATACAATCAATTATTGGGTTTATTCTTCAAAAATAATCAAGAAATTGATTATTCAGAAATAACTAATTTTTGAATAATTGATTTTAAACTTGAAAATGGCCTTAATTAAACCCAAAGTCAAAATGAGCTCAAAATGACCTTACTTTTAAAGTACTATGGCGGTATATTTATTATTGAAAAATGCTAGGGATACACCAAAGGTGTACCCCATTTGTCCCCCACCCCCTCCTCTACCACATAAATAGGCAAAAAACTTGTAAATAAATAAATAATTAAAAATAAAATAAAAATATATGGTGGAGAAGGGGGTGGGGGACAAATGGGGTACACCTTCAGTGTACCCCTAGCATTCCTCGATCTTTATTATTTCAAGGGATCAAAACAACTTGTACCAAATTTTATTCTCTTCATTCTTGAATAAACTTCATTTTCATAATTTGCACGGACAAATTATTGCGAAGTATATAATTTATTTATTTATTTATTTACACTAATATTTGCATTCATAATTGTTATGTAGTGTAAGAATAAAATAGTGTTATCACATTTTACTTTTACTTTTATCATGTAGGTCATAAAAAAAACACAAATAAATATAAATTCCCGTGAAGTTGGAATAATGCTCTAGAAAGATCATTATAGGACGGAGGGAGTATCTATTCATATATTTTTATTAACGTAATAATGCACAAAAAAGCCTCTACTTGGACTCAAAGCTGAGTAGACTTACAGCTACCAATGGAAAAACGGCCCGATTCTAATGACACCGGAGAACGGTGCCACTAGCGGTGCCACTGGGTTTTTGGGGCACCTCCGATGCTCCATTCGTGAAATTGACGATTCCTACCTCCCTTAACTCACCCCTAAACCCCCACTCTACCCTCACCCCTGCACCCTACCCCAACCCCACCGTAACCCCACAAAATGTGTGGTTATTATGCCATTAAATTAACATATGTTTAACATTTTAATCCTACATGGCGGTTTTGGCCATAGCCAAAAGTCTCGCTAGCCACTACCTCAATCCACCGTTGACGGCGGCGCTTTCCTTCCGCACATCTTCTTCACGGAACCATACTAGCATTCCACTCAAAAGAACAGCGTTCATCAAACATCCTCGGCATACCAACTGCAAGCGAATGGCTTCTACTAATAGCCCAAACGATCGCCCCGCTCCGGCCGCCGACAAGACCAGGTCTCCGTACGGGTCGTGGAAGTCCCCGATCACGGCCGACGTCGTCTCCGGTTCCACCAAGAAGCTTGGAGGCTTCGCCGTCGACTCACTCCGCAACCTCATCTGGCTCGAGTCTCGACCCACTGAGTCCGGGTAACCCTAGCAGTAGATCTGACATGATTTCTTATCCCCCTGGTACGCGAATCGCCCAGAATCCACTCAAAATTAATTCGGATTTTATCATTTGCCCAGACGCGGAGTTCTAGTGAAGGGGCCGGAGAGGCCAGGCGACTTGCCGGCGGACATAACGCCGAAGGATTACGCGGTGAGGACGGTAGCTCAGGAATATGGAGGCGGCGACTTTAGCATATTTGGGGACACTGTGATTTTCTCCAATTACAAGGATCAGAGGCTTTACAAACAGTCCATTTCTTCTAGAGGTTCTGCACTTTTTACTCCTACATTGAATTCTGTTTTTATTTATTTATTTATTTATTTATTGTAACACTGATAGTATAAAATCCCATCACAGAGAAAGACAAGGATATATCTATTCTTATGCAATAAAATCAAGGAACAAGGAACTGTCCATTTTAACTAAATATGAGGGAGTAGGCCGGGGGCTTAAATAGACCCTTCATTTATAGAAATAAACTCCATCTATGATTTGGAATTTTGAGTCCCCTGTGCAACCAATCAGATTTCAGAACAGGGCCCGGAATCGGAACGGCCGGTTCCACAATCGGTACCGCCGGCCTACGATACCAGTGTCTGGTGGCTGTTCCGGATGGTGAAATATGATATTTAATTATTTATTAGTAGTATTTATTATTATTATTATTATCATTATCATATTTATTACGGAGTATTATTATTTGTAGTAGTAGTTTAGATTTTATTAGGGGAGCGATTTATAAGCTCTATCGAGGTTTTCTTTTCGATTCTTTACCTCGATGCATTTACACTATGTTTGGTTCAAGGAATTTGGAAGGAAAAGAAAAGAAAATGATTTTCTTTCATTTTCCTCACCAAAATGGAAGGAATTTGGTTTTCCCTCCACTTGTTACTTTTTGCCTCCTCATTTTCTTTTCCTTCCACTTTTTCTTTCTTTTCCCCTCTAACCAATCAAAAAAAATAATTTTCCATTTCTTTTTATTTTCTTTTCCCTTTCAAAATCTTTGAACCAAACATAGTGTTATTGAACCGACATGCTAGAGATTTAATTTACAGAGTATTAGGGTTAGGGTTTGGAAGCCCTCCTATATATCTGGAGTTTAATCCTCCCATAATAATCAATTAATAAAGAAATCATTTTTACAAGAATCCTAATTCTCTCCATTTTTCTCACCCTCTCAACTTTCTTCTTTTTCTCCTTCAATTCTTCCTCCTCAATCTCTCAATTTTTTAGAGCTTGAAGGCGCTCGAAATCCTTCCCCATCCAATGCGTTTGTCGTATCAACGACGGTGCCCAAACCGCCTGTTCAAGAATAGAGCTCCTTATAGCTCATCTTGAAGCTCATCAACGACTGGAATTGGATATTTATCTTTAACAGTGAGATCATTAAGCACCCGGTGACCAACACAAAAATGCCAATGACTCGGCCGAATGACTCCTTATTGTAACATATTACTAACCAATTTTTTCCATTTCTGCCTTTTGTTAATACGAGGACCGATAAGGCCGCACACTAACCAGAATTGCATCCACCTTTAATATGATACGGTGGTAACATGGGCAGCTCCATAAAAAACTGCTGGCCCGGTGATGCGCGGTTGGTTTTAGGTTGAGTATTCCCTGCATAAGCAACCCGCGATGCGTGGTTCTGCGGTAGTGAGTGGATGACCCAGACGAGTCATTGGGACGGGCGCTTTTGATGGAGGTTTCGAGGGATGTATTTTGTTGAGAAGGGTTTGTACAGCAGTGGTTAATTGTTGATTGCTAGTAGTAAGGTGGTTTAAATGGGTTCCATGTTGGACGAGGGTATCACTCAGCTCTTGAGCTTTGTCATGTTGTTGCGGGTTTCCATTGGATTGAGGTTCTGATCCCAAATCAGAGAAGGCGAGAAGGAAGGAAATGAGAAGAAGAGTTGGGATAATTTTCTGAGATACTCTCCAAAAGTAACAATGCAGGAATAAATAGCTA